TCAGAGCCTGTTTCCCTGAACTGAACCTCAGGGTCACCAGCACCCTCCTCCTGGGGCTGCTTCTGTCAGGCTCTCCCACCGGGCGGTTCTCCTTTTAGTGCGAACCCAGGGACACTCTAGTTAATAAGTGATGCTGCCACGAAGCAGGGCGCTTCATTTTTAATGAGCTGGAGCTTGTGGCTCTGCCACCCCTCGGGCGCTATCTACTCCCTGGCTCTTATCAGCCGACAGGCACCTTATTTTACTGCCGGATGCAGCTTCCTGTCTGTCCCCCGTAAGAAACGCCAGCTTCCCCGAGGGCAGGGGCTGTCACTTTGGGCACTGCTGCCACCCATCAGCGGAGGAGAAATGAGGACGGAAAGCACCCACGGTTGGGAAAACAGAAAGCAGGCTGGGAGCGACGTGCTCACTTCCAAGAAAGATAAGTTCACAAAACATGGCTTCCCCAGGGTGCGTGGGAAAGTGTAAGAAAATTCCAAGGCTCTTTAACCGCAGAAAACGCCCGCGCCTCCGCAGCCGCGACGGGAGGCGGGCTCCAGGGTGATCTTCACTTTCCCCACCCTGTCGCGTTGTTTACAACAGAAATGTATTAACGCAGAGGTCAACATATCATTTTAATATGGAGCCTCGCAGCTAAATCCAGAGTGTGAGAAACCCTACAAGATAAAAGACTCGATTTTTTCCCATTAAAAGATGGCATTTAAAAAAAAAAGTGGGACCCTAGCCAGTTTGGCTCAGTGGATAGAGCGTCGGTCCACGGACTGAAGGGTCCTGGGTTCAATTCCGGTCAGGGGCATATGCCTCAGCCGCAGGCCCCATCCCGGCCCAGGTGGGGGCCCATGTGGGAGGCAACCAATCGATGTGTCTCTCACATCAAGGTGTCTCTCTCTTTGTCTTGCCCCCTCCCTTCCACTCTCTCTAAAAATCAATGGAAAAATATCCTTAGGTGAGCATTAACAACAACAACAAAAAAGGTGGGGCACGGCTGATGTGGCTCAGTGGTTGAGCACTGACCTATGAACCAGGAGGTCACGGTTTGATTCCCAGTCAGGGCACATGCCCGGGTTGTGGGCTTGATCCCCAGTAGGGAGCATGCAGGAGGCAGCTGATCAATGATTCTCTCTCATCATTGATGTTTCTCTCTCTCTTTCTTCCTCTCTGCAGTCAATAAAAAAAGTACATATACTTTTTAAAAAGTGGGGCCCTTCCCTCTCCCTTCCTCTCTGCAGTCAATAAAAAAAAAAATGTATATATAATGCATAAAAAGTATATATTATATATACTTTTTAAAAAAGTGGGGCCCTGGCTGGGTGGCTCAGTTGGTTGGAGTGTCATCCATACACCAAAAGGTTATGGGTTTGATTCCCGGTCAGGGCATATGCCTAGGTTTCAGGTTTGATTCCAGTCAGGGCGTGTGCAGGAGGAAACTGATCAATGTTCCTCTCACACTGATGTTTCTCTCTCTCTCCCCCACCTTCCTCTTTCTCTAAAATTAGTAAAAGAACATATCCTCAAGTGAGGATTTTTTTTAAAAAAAGTGGAAAGAGAGGACTTTTAATCTCAGCGATTTGAGACATTTAAAAAATGTATTGTGAGGGCTTTGTTTGGATCCAGATTGAAATAACCACAGTCCCTGTGATACTTGGGAGACAATTAGGGGAATGTGAATATGGACCAGGTATTAGGATGTCACAGAATTAATAGTCTTGATAAGTTATGACTGGGATTTTTATGTTAAACAATACTCATATATTGGAGATACACGGGTGAAATGATAGGACATCTGCAATTTGATGTAAAATATTCCACTGCAGAGTGGGAAGTCGGTGTGGGTCAGTAAACAAAGCTGGCAACCAACACAAGACTCAACACGGCTCATCACTGAAGCTGTGTGGTGGGCATCTCGGGGTGTATTCTCTCTACTTTTGCATATGCCTGAATAGTTCTATAATGAATAGTATTTTAAAAGAACCAAAAATAAACAAAAAAAATCCCACAAAACTTTAAATGGCTTTTAAACGCCCCAGGATGTAGCTGCCCTCCTTTTGCAGTAACTGCTGACACTGTCACCCACTCACAGGAGAGGAAACTGAGGTGCAGGGAAGTGGAGCATGTTGCCCAGGGACAACGGTGCTGTGGATACAGACAATCACAGTGGGAACGGAAGCTACGTCTTTTTAGTCCCCTTCCCTTGCAAGCCCAGGACACGTTTCTGTGCCCCTGGAGAGGAAAGGGTGAGGTAAGAAAGGGCAGAGGCCAGGGGGCGAAAAGGAGCAGGGGACAGGTGGGGCGAGGGTAGGAGACTGACCATGATGGCAGGAACAGCGGGACCTGAGGAACCTTCTGTGGTCCTTCTTGTTCCTTCCTGTGGGTTCAGGAAGGAGTCAATGATGATACTAACCAATAAGATCTGGGGGGGAAACGTACTGGACTCCTGGGTCTGAGGGAGGAGGGGCTGGGGCCTGGACTCCTGGGTCTGAGGGAGGAGGGGCTGGGGCCTGGACTCCTGGGTCAGAGGGAAGAGGTGGGACTGAATCTCCTGACCCTAAGCAGGAGGGTCTGGGGTCTCACCCTAGCCTTGAGCAGCCGCTCCCGCTCCGCCACGGCCTGCTGCAGGAGCCGCTCCATGCGGGCGATGTCTGGGTAGAGCGCCCCACAGCTAGGAGGAGGGGACAGAGGCCAGGGCAGGTTACAGTGGCCCTGCCTCTTCCCCCCATCTTCCCACCTTCTCCGGGATGTCTCACCTATTCCCAGAGCCACAGTTCAGCAGCTGATAGAGTGGGTGTCTCCCAGAGTCTCCTGCTGCTGGTGGGAGGGCTGAGGCCTCCAGGGGTCCTGGGGGAGGAGAGGTGGGGCTAGGAGGCTGGGATTCTCCCTTGTCCACTCCCTACACTTCCGCCCCAACAGGCATCCAAGCCAAGTTCCTCCAGCCGGTGCTGCAGGAAGGGGGGGAGGGTATGCCGGGATAGGGGTCCTCACCAGTACAATGGAGGGACAGAGGTCGGGGCGATCCCCTCTGGCTCAATCTCTCTCCCCTCTTCCGGGACAGGCTTCCATTCCTTTGGAGGCCGATGGAGCCCTGAAAACACACAAGATGCTCAATCTCAACCGGAAGTCAGAGGACTGACTGACGAGTAAAACCACCATCTATCAGGCACAGATCAAAAAGCTACCCTGCACATGATGCCGAGTGAGTGACCCCACGGCGGAATGTCCAGAATGGGCAAATCCATAGAGACAGGAAGTAGGTTAGTGGTTGCCAGGGACCTGGGGAAGAGAGGGAACTGAGGGGTGATGGCTAAGGGGTCTGGGTTTCTTTTGGGGTAATGGACATGCCCTAAAGTTGTGGCGATGGTTGCACAACTCTGAATATACTAAAAGCCACTGAATTATACTTTTTAACTGGGTGAATTGTATGGTGTGTGAATTATATCCTGACAAAACTATAAAGAAAAAACCCACTGTGTGTGGGCACAGGGGAAACCCAGACACTCTCCCACAAATTGGGGGGGTGAGGGGGAGGGGGCAGAGGGTTCTATTGGAACAACCTTTATGGAGGCCAATTTGGCTCTTTTTTTTTTTTTAATGACAAATGCATAAATCTTTGAGCTCCAGTTCCACTTGTAGGATTATATCATATGGACATACTCATACATATGCAAAATGACCTGGGTTCAAGGTTATTCCCCTCAGAAGCCTGGAGGCCACCACAGTGCCACAGAAGGGGGCAGGGAAAATAAACCAGGGATCTTCCGCACCACGGAAATGTCTGGAGTCCATATAGTAAAAGGGGGGATGCTCTTTATATCCAGAGAGAAAATAACCTCCAAGGTAAAAGCATAGAGCAGGCCCTAGCTGGTTTGGCTCGGCAGATAAGGCGTCGGACTGCGAACCGAAGGGTCACGGGTTTGATTCCAGTCAAGGGCATGTACCTAGGTTGCAGGCTTCTCCATGGCCAGGCCCTGGTCGGGGCACGAGCAGGAGGCAACTAATCAATGTGTCTCGCTCACATAGATGTTTCTCTCTGTCTTTCCCTCTCTCTTCCACTCTCCCTAAAAATCAATGGGAAAATATCCTCGGGTGAGGATTAACAAAAAAAAGAAAGCACAGAGCAGGGTGAAGACGACATATCTACGCACAACGAGGGGGAGAATGTATACATGACAGAATGTGTAAACACAAACATCTCCAAGAAGACAGAGAACTTGGTCACCCCAGCCGCCCCCAGCAGATGACCTGAATGGACGGAAATAATAGCAGAAGAGCCTTTTCTCTGCATAACCTCCCATGCCCTTTGAACTTTGAATGAGGGGAATGTTCACTTTAAAAAAAATAAGTGGCCGAAACCGGTTTGGCTCAGTGGATAGAGCGTCGGCCTGCGGACTGAAAGGTCCCGGGTTCGATTCCGGTCAAGGGCATGTACGTTGGTTGCGGGCACACCCCCAGTAGGAGATGTGCAGGAGGCAGCTGGTCGATGTTTCTCTCTCATCGATGTTTCTAACTCTTTATCCCTCTCTCTTCCCCTCTGTAAAAAATCAATAAAATATTTATAAAAAAAAAAAATAAGTACTCAGTTTTTCAATACAAAGTCTGAATGATTAATTTTTACTTTTAAAAAAGGTGCTGAATCAAACGCACTTGTGTTGGGAGGACATCATGTGCTCTGCCCCGCGGAGGCCCTTCACAAGGCGCTGGCACCTCAGCCTGACCCTGCGGGGTCATGGGAGGTTTTAGCATCAGGGCGTGCAGGAGGCAGTTAATATTTCTCTCTCATCAATGTTTCTATTTCTCCCTCTCCTTTCCTCTCTCTCTAAAATCAATAAAGCCCTAGCAGGTTTAGCTCAGTGTTTGGAGAGTCAGCCCTCGAACTGAAGGGTTCCAGGTTCGATTCCAGTCAAGGGCACATACTTTGGTTGCAGGCTCAATCTCTGGCCCTGGTTGGGGTGCTGCAGGAAGCAACCAATCGATGTGTCTCTCTCACATCAATGTTTCTCTCGCTCTGTCTCTCCCCTTCCTTTCCACTATGTCTAAACACCAATGGAGCCCAGCCAGCCTAGCTCAGTGGTTGAGTGTCAACCTGTGAACCAGAAGGTCAGGGTTCAATTCCCAGTCAGGGCACATGCCCAGGTTGTGGTCTCGATCCCCAGTAGGGGGCATGCAGGAAGCAGCCAATCAATGATTCTCTCTTATCACTTAAAAATCAATGGAAAAATATAACCTCAGGTGACAATTAACAAAAAAAAAATAAGATAAATAAAAACATATTTAAATAAATATGACAATTAAATGCAACCTGGCTCTGCGGTGTGGCTCAGGAGGTTAGAGTGTCGCCCCAGTACACCGAAAAAGGTTGTGGGTTCGACCCCCCGTAGGGGCGTGTATGGAAGGCAAGTGATCGATGTTGCTCTCCCACATCGTTATTTCTCTCACAATGATGTGTCTCTCTCTGTCTTCCTCTCTCTAAAATCAACAAACAAATCCTCCCATTAGGGTTAAAAGAGGGTCACCTTCCAACCTCTGGACATTGACCCAAGGTCCAAGGATACGGGCTGGCCAGGGGAGAGTCGGCCAAGTGCAAAGGTGCTGGGACAGGAACAGGTATTGGCTGGTCAGTGCTCCTGCAGCTGAGCCGAGCACTGGGGCGGGTGGGGAGAGGTGGGCAGGGGCTGGCAGACCAAGGTGAGGAGGCCCCGGGGCAACTGGGGGCATTTGATGGGGAGGCTTGAAGTCGGAAGACTGCTGTGTGGGGGATAGATTATTGGGAGACAAAACGTAAGATGAAGACATCAGTGAGGAAGCAGGAAGCCAATATACGGTCACAAAAACCAGAGATGAGGGCGGACGTGGAGAGAAGAAAGACGCTCATAATTATAACACAACTAATCATTGTAATTGGAATCAGGGTACCCGCAGCCCACATTCACTGAGCACCCACTTTGTGCCAGGCACCACGCTAAGCCTTTAACCATTAACCAGTGGGTGCTGTTATTACTCCCATTTTGCAGTGAAGTAAACTGAGGCACAGAGACGGGTCTAAGTCCAGCCAGCTGGGAAGTGGTAGGACAGGTATCTGAACCCAAGCAGAGGCAGTCCTCTTAGACATCACATGATCCTGGAAGACCGGGTGGAATTTGAGGATCTAATAGCACTCGGAGTGAGAGAAGAAGGGGCAAGGAGGAGGGCCCTGCTGAATCACACATTCATTTATCTACTTGTGTATGTTTACCTGCTGAGGAAAGAAATACTCCCTGGACTCTGCTGTGCCCTGCCGCCCCCGTTGCTCCCTCTGAACCAGTGCTGGCCACGGTGCCCACTGGATCCCGAAGGATTCCTAGAAGCGCTCGTCATCCAAAAGGCACAGGCCGTGGACACAGACAGACGCGGCTCGAACCCGGCTCTGCCACTCACTGGGTGTGTGACTTTGGCAGGCAGGTCACCTCCCTTCTCAGGCTAGCCTTCCCTTCCGCAAAGTGGGCGACCACCCACTGCCCGCTGTGGGTGATGCAAGGGTCAAACGAGTGACCTTGTGCAAAGCACACAGAAGAGCTGCCCTCCC